TCTCTAAACCCAGTTTGGCTGCCTTGTGAAATGATTCTCTGCAGTAAACGGACTTTTCATGTATTTAATCATTCAGACTCCCATTCACACCTGCATGATTACAGAAAACATGGGGTATGTAGGCTAGTAACACATAAGAAAATTGCAGTAAGATGGTAATGAAATCCCATATTCATCTTAACATGTTTCCAGTGGAAAATATTTTGTTTTGAGTGTTTATTTGTTTATTGTTCAGTTTATTATTTTTCACTTGATTAAATGTTTTTTTGTTGTATTAAACCATGTATGTTGCAGCTTAACAATAAAGAAACATCTATGAAAAAAAAAAGAAAAGAGAAAGGACCCAAATTAATAAAATTATGAATGAAAGGGGAGATTTCACGACTAACACCAAGGAAATAGAAACAATTATTATCAACAACTATATGCCAATAAACTGAGCAATCTGGATGAAATGGAAGCCTTCCTGGAAACCTATAAGCTGCCAAGACTGAAACAGGAAGAAACTGACAACCTGAATAGGCCAATAACCAGGAACGAGATTGAAGCAGTGATCAAAAACCTCCCAAAAAACAAGAGTCCAGGGCCTGATGGATTCCCTGGGGAATTCTACCAAACATTCAATGAAGAAGTAATACCTATGCTACTGAAGCTGTTTCAAAAGACAGAAACAGAAGGAAAACTTCCAAACTCATTCTATGAGGCCAGCATTACCTTAATCCCCAAACCAGGCAAAGACCCCAACAAAAAGGAGAATTTCAGACTGATATTCCTGATGAATATGGATTCCAAAATTCTCAACAAAATCCTAGCTAAGAGGATCCAACAATACATTAAAAGGATCAACCACCACGACCAAGTGAGATTTATCCCCAGGATGCAAGGGTGGTTCAACATTCGCAAATCAATCAATGTGATAGAACACATTAATAAGAGGAGAGAGAAGAACCATATGGTCCTCTCAATTGATGCAGAAAAAGCATTTGACAAAATACAGCATCCTTTCCTGATTAAAACTCTTCAGAGTATAGGGATAGAGGCAACATTCCTCAAGTTCATAAAATCCACCTATGAAAAACCCACAGCGAATATCATCCTCAATGGGGAAAAGCTGAGAGCCTTTCCCTTAAGATCAGGAACACGTCAAGGATGCCCCCTCTTGCCACTATTGTTCAACAGAGTACTAGCAGTCCTAGCAATAGCAACCAGAGAAGAAAAATAAAAGGTATTCAAATTGGCAAAGAAAAAGTCAAACTCTCTTTTCGCAGACAACATGATACTTTATGTGGAAAACCTAAAAGACTCCACCCTCAAATTGCTAGAACTCATACAGCAATTCAGTGATGTAGCAGGATAAAATTTAATGCACAGAAATCAGTTGCTTTCTTATACACTAACAATGGAACTGTAGAAGGAGAAATTAGAGAAACAATTCCATTTACAATAGCACCAAAAACCGTAAGATACTTCAGAATAAACCTAACCAAAGAGGTAAAAGATCTATACTCTAGGAACTACAGAACACTCATGAAAGAAATTGAAGAAGATACAAAAAGATGGAAAAATATTCCATGCTCATGGATCGGAAGAATAAACATAGTTAAAATGTCTATGCTACCCAGAGCAATCTATACCTTCAATGCCATCCCGATCAAAACTCCAATGACATTTTTCAAAGTGCTGGAACAAAGAATCCTAAAATTTGTATGGAATCAGAAAAGACCCCGAATCGCCAAGGAAATGCTGAAAAAGAAAAACAAAGCTGGGGGCATCATGTTGCCCGATTTCAAGCTATATTACAAAGCTGTGATCATCAAGACAGCATGGTACTGGCACAAAAACAGACACATAGACCAATGGAACAGAATAGAGAGCCCAGAAATGGACCCTCATCTCTATGGTCAAATAATCTTCGACAGGAGCGCCTGGGTGGCTCGGATGGTTGGGCGTCTGCCTTCGGCTCAGGTCATGATCCTGGGGTCCTGGGATCGAGCCCCACATCAGGCTCTCTGCTCGGCGGGGAGCCTGCTTCTCCCTCTCCCGCTCCCCCTGCTTGTGTTCCCTCTCTCGCTGTGTCTCTCTCTGTCAAATAAATTAATTAAATCTTTTTTTAAAAAGTTTCATAAAATAGTTTTCCATCCTTTTAAATTCCATTCTCATCAGTTAAAAACTGAAAAAGAAAAAAGTTTATACGATAAATCTCTCAGCCAAATAGTAAAAGTTATTTTTTTCCAAATAAAGTCTATAGTTTCCTTGAGTTTTTAGAAATTTCTCTATGTCATTTTTATTTAGATAACCCATATAGACTAGTAGTGAGTTGAATTGTGCCCCCCAAAGTGGTATGTTCAAGTCCTCACCCCAGGACCTGTGAGTGTAATCTTACTGGAAGTAGGACCTCTGCTGATATGATTGTGCTAAGACCCTAAGATCAGCTTGGACTTAGGGTGTCCAGCAACCAGTGTCCTTGTAAGAGAAAGAAGAGGGGGAATGGTGACACCAGGGAAGATAGCTGTGTGAAGATGTGAGCAGACAGCGGGCCGATGAGCCCCACGTCAAAGCCAAGGACTGGCAGCCGGCACCAGGAGTGGAAGGGGCCAGGGCAGACAGTTCTCTTCAGGGTGTCCAGAAGGAACCAACCCTCCAACCCCTTGATTTTAGACCTGCAGCCTCCAGAACTGTGAGAGAATAGATTTCTGTTGTTTTAAGCTGTGAAATTTATGGTGGTTGGTTGCAATAGCCCTAGGAAACTAACACAAAACCTTTTTAAATATGTTGAGGACAAATGGATATGTATCAGTCTCTATTCCAAATCCATCATAAGAAATGTGTGTCTAACATGTAATGTATGTTGGGGAGAGGAAGGGAAGGCAATTTCATTAAAATAAAAACATTGAGGGGTGCCTGGGGGGCTTCGTCAGTTCAGCGTCTGACTCTGGATTTCGGCTTAGGTCATGATCTCAGGGTCGTGAGATGGTGCCCCAAGTTGGGCTGCACGCTGGGTGTGGAGCCTGCTTGAGATTCTCACTCCCTCCCTGTGCTCCTCCCCCACCTCTCTCGCTCTAAAAATAAATAAATAAATAAAAATTTAAAAATCAATTTAAAACAATGAAATGAAATAAGTACACTGGGCCAGTCCACAGGGTGGCGGGTGGTGTCCTGCCAGCCTGCAGTGGGGCTAGTGGCCGCCACGCTCCGTGCTCCTTGGCGCTTCCACACTGTGCTCCCACAGGAGGAAGCAGCAGAAAAACAGTCTGACATCAGCTAAGAACCTGAGGCAGGATTCACTGGAGCTGAAGGGAAAGTGGACGTTCCTGTTGGCGCCATAAGTACCTGTGGATTGTGGCAGGAAAAGTGAAATGGGTCACTGATGTTGAGACGTCAGTGCTGATAAATAACTTTGAAGAGTGGACGGATCCAAGTGACAGAACGTGAGGGCTGGAATTTTTACTGGATGAGTGTGCAAACCAACTAAAACATCTGTAGTGTCCAAACTGGCTATCGGCTCTCAATCACACAGTCAACCATTTTCTGAACCAAACCGACCCAGAAGGATCTAATGGTGAAGAATGTGAAAAGCCACAGGAGGCAGCTGGAGAAAGACGGGGGTCCTCCCGCAGAAAACGATGAAAACAGAAAACACCTCGTGCTGCCCTGCTGACCACAGCCTGTCTGTGGACAAGTTCAGGAACAGTCCCTCCCGGATCACGAAACCTTGTGGCAAAGCCCAGGGGACAGGCATCTTTCTGATCAACAAGCGCTCGCAGATCAAAACGTGGTCCCAGGACAGCAAAACGGTCCGTCTCTGAGCCCATCGCTAAAGCAGCCCACGTGACCCCTCCGGACATCAACATCCCATGACTAAGAAGTGGGAGCAAGTTCAACCTGCGCTTGTTCTGATGTCTCTGCGCCGCCCGCTCAGCGGCTCAGTGAGCATGGCTCGACCTGGATTCCGCCACTTTTGCTCAGGGAAACGCAGCCCAGTGAGCTGGACGCGGTGTTTGCTCGTTCGTTCGTGTCACCGTTCAGAAGCACGTCCCCAGGGAGGGGCCGAGAGCGGCCGCGGCACGCTGCTGGACGGGGTGCACTGGGCCGTGGCGCAGTCAGGGGAGGCCGCGGCGTGGAGAGGAACAGCGACCGCAGCGCTTCCAGGGCCACGGCCGCGACACCGTAGCAGACGACAAGCTGAAGCGCCACTGGCGGAAGCATCCGGCTCTCACCTCCAGCGCCACCAGCAACCAGATCCTTAAGTAGAAGCTGATCAGTGACACCCCCCACACTGCGGCTCCGAACCGTGAGACCACAGACTGCCCACGAGTCGCCCTCGAGAAGTCCCGGGCCATCATGAAGTGTGTACGATGAAGAGCTGGCGCAGCAGGATGGGGCTGAGCGGGGGCTGGGCGGGGGCTGAGAAGTCATCAGGGCCACTCACTGGGGCCCAAACTGGCCACCCGAGAGACGCAGGACGTCCTCACGACCAGGCAGTGACCGCCAGGAAGCACAGGAGACGGCAGCCTGGACCCTGCCAAGTCCTCCCTGCACCAGGGCCTATTCTGAAATTCCCTTTTTCTAGAGCCTTTTCCCTTCCTAAGCCGTGTGAATAAATATAGGCACTTCTTTGGAAGGTTAAAAATAATAATAATAAAATAAGTACATTGTTCCCTAAGATACCAAAAAGGAACACTCCCAGTTAAATACTTTGATCTGGTATTTTACTCAGTAGTGTTGTTACCTGGTGATTCACAGAAAATGCAGCAATTCCTACACGGGAGGCAATTTGTGCAATGATTGATAAATGAATAAAGAAATAAATTAATGTGTGACTGGGGTTTAAAATAATCAGGCCTCACCAAAATTAATGCATGAGTGTCTTTCACAGAGCACACATTATTCTCATTAAAACAGATTTTATCTTCATGTGCGACAAAATTAACCAGTTTCCACAAGAATGAGTCTAGGGTCTCACGACTGAAGACCACCCGACACACCACGGAGGCACTTACATGTCTGTCCTCCGCGCCCGAAGCCACGTAGCGTCCACAAGGGCTGAACGCAATCCCACATGGATATCCACGGTTTGGATGTCCTTCAAAACAGCGCTCGCATCTATAGGAAAAAAAGAAACATCAGGAGAAAAAAATGATTTTTTATTTTTAACACAAATGAGGGCAAAGACACTGACTTGTAGCCTGTCTTCACAACAATGAACAAACCAGCACTGACACAGCACGCTCACATGTGAGTTATTAAAGGCAAGCAGGTCATTCTGAAGATCTTTAAAAATATAGAACAAACGTTTTCAAATGATAAATTATTTGGATCAGTGATCCAAAAACTTCTGGGAGGTGCAACACTCTAACGAGGCTGTCAAGCAGCGCAACCAACTTGCTACAAAGTGTTACATACAACCTGTTTATTGATGCTGGTTTTCCTGAGAAAATCTCCTATTTGGGGGTGGCCAGAGCGGCCCAAGGAGAGACTTCGCAAGCGCTAACTAGCACATGGCTGGGCTCCAGGGGGTCCACGACGCCAAACAGAGGCCTCCGCCGGAGATGGCTCAGGGAACACGCCCTCACACATCAGAGGGGCTTTTATATTTGCTTAGCGATTACAGAGGAGAGCAGAGACACTGTTCATTCTGCCCTTGCCATCTATAAGTGTGCATATGCACAAATATTGATACTTTTTTATATACGTTATATATTTAGTGATTATTCCCCATAACAGAATTATCTTTTTAGAGAATAGGAACATACATATATATGCATTTGCATCACTGTGGTTTATGAGCATCTCATTACCTCCCTGTGCATCTCTGACCCTCAGGGGTCACAAGGCACACGCAGAGCAAACACCAGCACCTTTGACGTTAGCATTCCAAATTGGTGCGACCTGTTCTGTGTATAAATCATACTTTTCTTAGATGAGCCAGCGTGAGTAGGTTCACCACAACCTTGTCGTATTTGGAAAAACGAGATCAAACTAAGTTTACTTAGTTTTCTAAGTAGTTTTACTAAGGCCTCATGCCTCGGGAGCTGTTAACAGAAGCATGTCTCCACCTGCAGCCTGCAGGCCAGGGCGGGCCTTACCTCAGGGTCTCAAGTCCCACAGCTTTATGCCATCCCCAGTGGCTGTGGTGGCGAAAAGGTTATAAAGCTGGTGCTGTTGGGTCATGAATGATGATCCCTAGAATTGTAAGGGGAGGAAACAAGATGTGTTCTTTAAAGGCTGAATTAATAAATATTATACTGATGCTATCTAACAATAATGAATCTAAAGTAAGAAATTGACACAAAGTTTTTTTTCTTATTTATAACAATTTCAGAATTGGCCTCCAAAAACCTCCTTATGAATAATTACTAATGGTACATTTTGACCTTAGGAAGTGTATGTTTTCTATATATGAAACGCCACCAAGAGTTATAAAAGTACAATAAAAGATCAAAAGACTACAATATGAATATACCAGAATTTATTTTTAAAGTATAAATCATAATCCGTCTTCAATAAATTATCTGAACGATGCCCCGGATGGGGAATTTGAAGTTTGAGGTCAGTTATTAATCTGCCAGTTATCAAACCCTAAGGCCTCCATGCAGGAGTCTGTGCACATGTCCCTGGCTGGGGTTCCTTTGAGGACCTGCCTCTGACCTGATCATCACCTCCCCTCGCGCTGCAATCAGAAGGAAGGCCTCAGCAACTTAAAATATCCCCTGGAAGGAGCTGAACTGCACTCCACCTACAGAACCATTTTTGGACCCAAACATTATATAATTATGGTTCATAACAATGTCCATCTTCCTTCTATGCCAAGAATATCCAAATTATTAAGAAAAATGTAATGAAGTATATCTGAAAGCATTTATCCTTACAGTGTGCACATACCTCAAGGTTGTTCTTCAGTTACAAATAGGAAATGAAGGTTTATATAAATTCAACAGCAAACTAACAGAGAGAGCCTTAACTCTGTGCCGACAGCATTCTAAACACTGAACATTTCATCCTCTTAACAAACTTATGAGATGTAAACTATTTTATACCCATTTCAGGTGAGAAACACAACACAAAGGAATCCACTCATAGCCACCCAGCTACTAATTCAACATAGCTTAGCAGTCCACAAACGAGCACAAGGTCAAGACACCTTGATAACTCATACCATCCAAACAATTCAACAGACATCCAACAAACATCCCGAGCTCATCCACTAAACATTGAGCACTTTGCAAGGCACTGAGTCTTAGAATGAGACCCAGATCTAGTTTAACAGAAAGCAGGTTATACTACCTTACAACATTGCTAGTTTCTTGAAGTTAACCAGTAAAAAACCAAAAGCATTCACAGGGATAAAAAGAGAATTAAAACCTTTTTTCAATCAATCCAATTGAGGCTAAGGAAGAAGAAATGAAGAAGCAAAGAAAATTCACGATAAATAGAAAATACAGAAGTTTTTTTTTAATGTAGAAGAGAATGCACAAAATAAGATCAAATGTGTAAGCATACCAATTATAAACAGACAAAATTCAACAAGTTAAAAAAAAGAAGAGATTCTTAGTTGGATTTCAAGAAAAACACTTAAAACATCATTTTTAGGGGCATCTGGGTGACTCAGTCCGTTAAGCGTCTGCCTTCAGCTCAGGTCATGGTCTCAGGGTCCTGGGATCGAGCCCCACATTGGGCTCCCTGCTCAGCGGGGTGTCTGCTTCTCCCTCTGCCTCTGCTCCTCCCTTCATTCGTGCTCTCTTTCTCTCTCCTCTCAAATAAATAAATAATATCTTTTTTTAAAAATCACTTTTAAAGGCTGAATGTGAAGGGTGGGAGAAAAACAGCATATGCTAAATAAAAGGCAAGATTGATTGCAAAAGTACTAGAAAAAATAGATAAGGCAAATAAGACCTCATTAAAAATAGTTTATAGATATTATAAAAGGAACACTGCAATGAAAACATAAGAAGTCTGACTTAAATATGCCCAATAACACAGCCTGTAACTATATGGAGCAAAAATTAATAGAATTATAAGAAGAAATTGACAAGATTACAATCATAGGGAGAAATATTAATACATTTCTCTAATTAAAAAAAACAATCGAGGGTACAAAAAATTAGGAAACCTGAGTAATTTGAATACAATTAATAAGGTTGGGTCAGTAGACATCTATGCAAACACGTACCCAGTGGTGGGTGAGAACATATTCTTTTCATGCACACATATATGATATCCATAAAAATCAACCAGAGAGCCAAGTTTCTCAATAGATACAAAAATCCCAGCAGGTAGAAGAGAATCAGTGCCATATAGATCACGTGCTCCAAAGACAATGCCATAAAATTAGAAATCAGTAACAGAAAGTTTACCAAAAACAAGCTCATATATGTAGAAACCTAAAAGCACACATCTAAATAAAGTCTAGGTTAAAAAAAGTCCTAATGGGAATTAGAAAATGTTTACTACTGAATAATAAAAATAGCACCTGCTACAAGTGGTACAGGGCAACTAAAGCAGTACTCAGAGGGAAATTCATAGGCTTCAATGCACACATTGCAAAGGCGCAAAGAGGGGTTAAAGTCATACCTACAAGTGTCAAGAAAAATCAGGTACCACAGAGATACGAACAGTTTGCTGCCATCATGCAGCCCAAAATGTATTTTGATGCGTACTTGGGAAAGAGCTACACCAAATTCAGTTGTGGTAATCAAAGAAGAATCAGACAGAAAGATACAGAGCATAATTGTGTCTGTCCCCACAAGCATTTCATTTCTTTAAAAAAAAAATACAAGATCTAAAGACAATAAAGTAATATATCTTAAGGCAATCATATGGATTTTACTGACCATTATTGCTGAAAACCTAAAGTTTTCTGTGTGATAAAATGTTTTCATTAGAAAACTATTTAAACCATTACAGATTTAATTTTTCAATTCAAATTAGCTATACAGCATTGTGTATTTACATCATAAAAATGCATATATCTTATTCAGGCATAGAAAAAAGTAATAGTCAAGTTTTTATTATGTATAAAGAAAAAATAACTATGATTTTTAAAGAGACCAGTAAATCATAAAAGAATTATGTATTTTCATTGTAAAAATAAAACCACTTAATGATATAACACAATTTAAAAATAGGAAAATATGGCGCTCAATTTTTGATGTACTCTTGTGACTGTGATAAAATTAAACAGTCTGCTTCTCCAACAACAATCACGGGGCAATCCCCAGGACAGGTGGTTTTCAGTCTGCACACCGGGATGCTTGCAAAAGAGCATTACTGGTATGTGACGGACATGCTTGTCCTGAGCTCAAGAGAACTTCGGAATGATCTATTTTATGTTTTACTGGAAATAGGGCATTTGGGCCGGTTAGGATTTGTGTTACATGAGCGTTCCTGGGTAGCAGCTCCCATATGGCTGCGGTTGGTCAGAACACTTTGATGTATGTTGTGTAACTGAACAAAAATTTAAGAGAAGTTTAGAAAAACAAGCTATTAGAACACAGTGTAAGCATCTGGAACCTTACACTCCTTCCCTTCCCTCCCACCATATACCAATCAGAAGTGTATTTTCAGGAAGTTAAACCAGTTATTTTCCCAGTAAAAAGCCTCAGGACTATTTTTCCTAATACAACACCTCTCATCCAAGAGCACACCACAATGATCCCCAAAATATCAGTCATCACTGGAAGGCCACATCAATTTGAAGTAGATCGGGCTACTATTTGGTCATTACATACACTGCTACTTAATGGAGAAGAAATTTTAAGCAGTTTCCTAAAGCAAATGCAAGAAAACCCATAACAACAAGAGGTTTTGTGAGAGGGACCTATGGAGTGGCCACCGTGTCACCTGAGGAGGGAAGGCTGTCCCGTCACCACAGTGGCTTTGCACCGGCTACTGACAGTGCTGTCGACACTGTGTGTCTGGAGAGAAGCTGCCCAGGAATCTGTTAGGGGCTCCTGAAACGCAGAGACACTGTCCCAGAGACCCACACATCCTTCAGGAAGGGGACACTTCCTCCAGCTGACACCACACCCTGAAAACAGGCTACGTCATAAGCCCCTGCCCACGCCCACTGGGAATGCTGTGGCCCCAAGCCGCTCCTGCATCAGCCAGAGCCAGGGTCCGGGCAGGTGACGGGACCACGGCAGATACTGAGCAGACGGAGCGCCGGCTACGGCCCATCCCGTGAAGCCACCTGCCGCTGAAGGAGCAGCTGTGCACTAGGGCAGCAGCTATGGACACACCGCCCCCGTGGGGCCGGGGTCCATGCAAGCTGGTGCTGCTGCTCAGGAGCACACCCCTTCTTCCCTTGCCAGCCTGTCGCTCCCCCGGGGGTGGGGGGCTCATAAAGCACCACACGTTTGCAGAGCACCAGTGTCCTCCCCAAGGGTGGCCTTCCAGCCGGAACCACATGGCGCACTCTCGTTATTTCCACGTCTGTGCACCTCCCTCACGCACACCCACGCAAGCATCAGTGAGGTCACTCACCTTCCTGCTCAGCCTTCATGACGGCTGCCCTGTACCTGGAATAAAGCCCGGATGGTGCTGAGACTACAAGCCCCACCTGGGGTTTCACCACATGGGCCTGAACGCGGCTCCCCAAGGCACACCTGGCTTCCCCCCCATGCCTCATGGACCTGCGGCCCAGCTCACCTCCTCAGAGAGGGCCCCCCAGAGAGGCCTTGGCACAGGGTATGTGATGCTGTGTGAACCCACTTCTTTCCGTAGAAGGGTACCGATTCACTCCTGCACACATGTACCCCAGGGCTCACAACCACACCAGGTGCAGGCTCGCTGACAGATACATGTAGATGAATTCATTACTAGGTGGATCATATGCATGCACACATGGATAAACACATGCTCACACACCTACACATACATGTGTGTGCACGCATGTCCTCATCTGGTCCAGGCCACAAGAGTGGTGAGGACAAAGGGGCAGGCACCAGGATGCTCGGTCTCGCCATCGCCCAAGACCTTGCCGTGGTGAAGTGTTGCAGACGTGCAGTGACAGGATCACAGTCCTGCTCATTAGGCTCGTTATCAGGAAGCCCCCAGCCTGGGCACAGAGATGCAGCACAGAGGCCCCCAGACCACAGCACCCCACTGGGGTTTGGACCGGGAGCTCTGTGGCCAGACGCGCAATCGCTGCTGACGCATCTCAGGGAACTGGTGCTGCACGTCTCAGCTTCCACACCCATGCATTAGGGCTCTCTGAGGACGGAGTTCATGCACGCTCAGCATATCGTGTCTGGCATGTGGGAGCACACAGCACATGTGAGCTATGGCGTGTGCACCTGTAAGAGTGTGACGGCAAACATTGGGGGATGCCTCCTCCTGTCCTGGTGAGTGCCCCCCAGGAGCTAAACATCGCCAGAGCTCGATGAATCCCACAGAAGCCATCTATGGCACAAGAAAAGGGCCTGGGCCCAGCAACCCAGGTTCCCTCACAAGCCCAGCCTGGGACCTAAGTCCACAGAGGGATGAGACAGGAGAGCCCCAAGGGCCTGCAGGCCAAGTCTGACTCTATCCCAAGAGTTACTGGGAACCTCGAGGGATTTCAAGGAAGACACTGAGATGGTCACTTGTATTTAGCAGTGGCAGTATGACCGGGTTGAGGAAGAGCCTTGTGGAGACAGAGGACTGGGGTGGTGGCAAGGGCAGAAGGGTGGACGGACAGACGGCACAGGGGATGCTGACCAGGCAGTGCTGGGCACACTCGCGGTGTTCATGCCGTGGGTCTACATACGGGAGTCAGGCTGTGAGGGCACACGGAGCACCGGAACCACCTGGCTCTTAGCCCAAACTAACTGCACGGGCTAAGGCAACCTGTCTGTTTTATGCATCTTCACAACCCTCCTAAAATCAAATTCTGTCTGGCAAAATGTGACAAGGTAGAGTCCCCGTCAAGTGCAGCCCTCTCCGGTCTCCCCAGGACACAGTGAGTGTCCTCATTACTGTGGCCACTCATGTGACAGCACTCGCCACAGTCAGCTTTGGGTAAATATGACCCACGTCCACACCTACCACCTTCGGTGTTACAATTTCTTTGAAAGCAATTTCTTACTTCAGCTTCTGATCTTCTACTGCAAGTAGCAAATTCTTGAGCATTTATCCTTAAGACTCACAGGAACAAAGGGATTGTGTGAAATTAGGTGCATCAGAGAAGAGAGACTTTTTAAGGCAATGCCCACCAACCTTCATAAATTTATATTTAAAGAAATAGGAAGAATAGTTGTCATTTAATGAACTGAGAATATGTTAAGAGGTTTACCTGCATTATCTTATTTAATCCCTGCAACAGAGAAAAGTTAATGAATGCGAAAGGTTTAAAAGTCTTCTACCATGAAATGGGAACAGAGGGCTGGCAACAACAAAATCCCAAGATGTCAGACAAAACAGCATCACATCATTTTTCAAAGTGAAATAACTTCTTTTGAAAATATGAGAAAATTGTTTAGTTCAAAAGAATTATCTTTACCGTTATTTTAAAACTAGGGTTTTATTTTTTATAAGTAAAAGCATTTAAAACTCCAAAACTGTATTTTGTATTTCCAATTTAACCAGCTGAAACAATTTAAAACAAATATGGAACCAAATGGAAAAAACAAATATCAGACTGAGATTTTCAGATTTTCATACCAAGTTTCATCTAGATGAAGTTTTCATGGCTCTGTGATAAATCCGAGAAAGAAATAAAGAACAGAACAAGTAAAAGAAAAAGAAAATAGGGATTTATAATGGAAATGTTGACAAACCACTTTCCATACACAAAAAATGATGATGGTGATGGTGCTGATGGTGGTGATCATGGTGGTGATGATGATGATGGTGGGGATGATGGTAGTGATCATGTAGGTGATGATGATGATGGTAGGGATGATGGTGATGATCATGGTGATCATGGTGGTGATGATGATGATGGTGGGGATGATG